CTTCTTACCCCACTGAGCCGCAGCAGACTTTTTGATCTTTGCACTTGCAAGAATGCAGAAAGTTATGTGCTTGTTTTAACTTGTATCTCTCAGATTAAAAGACGGATCAAGGGGCGCCTGGGTGCCCTCTGTCAAATAAATAAATAAAATCTTAAAAAAAAAAAAAAAAAGACGGATCAAGTCTTGCTTGTGAATGGCCCATTCCTGTCTTTACCCACTTAGCTGTTCGGTTACTGACGTTTTTCCTATTGCCTGGTGAGTTTTTATACAAAAGGCACTTAACTTCATTCCTCTTGTCCTCCTCGACCTTGACCCGGTTTGTTGTTTTTGGACTTTGTGGTGTATTTTTTCTTCTTTCTTTCTAATATTTTATTTATTTATTTGGCAGAGAGACAGAGATCACAAGTAGGCAGAGAGGCAGGCAGAGAGAGGGGAGGAAGCAGGCTCCCTGCTGAGCAGAGAGCCGGATGAGGGGCTCGATCCCAGGACCCTGTTACCATGACCTGAGCTGAAGGCAGAGGCTTAATCCACTGAGCCACCCAAGCGCCCCTGTTTGCCAAGATCTGGCCAGTTGACTCTACACTGTTTGGTAAGCAGCTTTGAATGAAGGCAGGTTTGAGACACCACTTTTTTTTTTTTTTTTAAGATTTTATTTATTTATTTGGCACACACAGAGAGCACAAGCAGGGGGAGCAGTAGATGGAGGAAGAGAGAGAAGCAGACTCCCCGCTGAGCAGGGAGCCCAAGGCAGGGCTGCTGGATCCCAGGTCCCTGGGAACGTGACCTGAGCCAAAGACAGAGGCTTAACCAACTGAGCCACCCAGGTGCCCCCGAAACACCACTTTTATCACTTAGTAAACCCCGCTGTGTGCTGGGACCCATCTCTGGGGTCCATCTCAGTCTCAGTTCTGCACGTGGGTCTGTCTGCCTGTTCCCGCTCCAGCTGGATTTTTTTAACAGATGAATAAATGGAGACCCAGAGTCGCTGGTGGAGGTCCAGAAAGGGCAGGGAGTGAAACCAATGCCAGGAAGAGAGCCTGCAACAGCTCCCGGGTGCTCAGCAGCCGAAGATGGCAGACGTCGCCCCCCACCTGCTCCACAGAGTCAGAAAGGAGAATTCTAAAGGGCTTCAAGACCACACAAAAGCTTCAGGAGAGCTTGAAGGACTAAGAGACGGAGAAAGACAGAATTCTAAGTCCCTGAGGGCATCACTGACCTCACAGACCTGGGGGGGGGTGTGTGGGGGGAGGCGGCAATGACAATCGTGGGAGAGAAAGGGCAGGACAGAGAGGATGGGTGAGGCTGACCTCAGCGCAAACACCCCCCTTCCCTCCTCAAAGTGGTGTCCCAGCAACGCAAATCCGCAAATCCCGCAGCCTACGGGGAAAATTGTGTGTCCTCCATCTGTGTCAGGAACAGGGAGTTCTGAGGTCACTTCCCGAGCTGCAGGGGTGGCTGAGTGGCACCTCTCACATCCGCGGGCCAGAAATAAGAGGACTTCTCAATGCTCCAGCCCCACGCGGGCTGCTGGCTTCCATGCTTTTAATGTCACAACATTTTGGAAACAACTTTTTTAGTTAAGTAGGATCCACAGCCATTATGAGGCTTGAACTCACAACCTTGAGATTAAGAATCCCATGCTTAGGGGTGCCTGGGTGGCTCACTTGTTGGGCGTCTGCCTTCGGCTCAGGTCATGATCCCAGGGTCCTGGGATCGAGCCCCACATCGGGCTCCCTGCTCTCAGGGAAGCTCACTTCTCCCTCTCCCACTCCCCCTGCTTGTGTTCCCTCTCTTGCTGTGTCAATCGCTGTCAAATAATTAAATAAATAAATAATCTTAAAATTAAAAAAAAAAAAAAAAAGAATCCCATGCCCTACCACATTCTATTGACTGAGCCAGCCAGGTGCCCCTGGAAACTTTTTATTGTATCATTTTATTATTATTATGATTACTACTAAAGATTTTATTTTTAAGTAATCGCTACACCCAAGGAGGGGCTTGAATTTACAACCCTGAGATCAATAGTTGTATGTTCTGCTGACTAAGCCAGCCAGGTGCCCCTTTACTGTATCATTTTAAATTATAAAAAGCTGGGGCACCTGGGTGGCTCAGTGGGTTAAAGCCTCTGCCTTTGCCTCAGGTCATGATCCCAGGATCCTAGGATCGAGCCCCACATCGAGCCCCGCATCAGGCTCTCTGCTCAGCGGGGAGCCTGCTTCCCTCTTTCTCTCTGCCTGCTTCTCTGCCTACTTGTGATCTCTGTCAAATAAATAAATAAAATCTTTAAAAAAATAAATAAATTATAGAAAGCTTACAAGAACGGTACAAGGAATACTGATATGTACTCTATCCAGATTTTCTGTTTACGTGATGCATGTACATATAGAGAGAAAATAGAATATATATATAGTATGTGTATATATGTATATTTTTTATCTGAGCAATTTAAGAGTAAGGTGAAGGTATTTTGCCTCTTTACCCCTACCTACTTCATCTTTCATATAACCACAGCAGAATCGTCAAAATCAGGGAATTTAACATTAATACAGTTATCTTTATAATGAGCTTATACAACTCAACACCAAACCCCCCATAGCACCAAACCCCACCAAAGCACATACCTTTTTCATTTCAGTTCAATGAAAAACTGGGCAGTGGACCCGAATAGACATTTTTCCAAAGAAGACACACAGATGGCCAACAGACACATGAAAAAGTGCTCAACATCTCATTGCCGGGGAAATGCAAATCAAAGCCACAACGAGCTCTCGCCTCACACCTGTCAGGATGGCTGCAATAAAAAAGCACAAAATGTAAGCAGTATTGGGGAGGGTGTGGAGAAACAGGAGCCGTCGGGCGCTGCCTGTAGGCAGGCAGACAGGCGCAGCCACTGTGGGAAACAGTATGTTGCGTCCTCAAAAAATTAAAATAGAAACACGTATGATCTGGCAATTCCACCGCTGCATATTTATCCGGAGAAAATGAAACTCTCATTCGAAAAGATGCGTACACCCTGAGGTTTACTGGGCGTGGTTTGTAACAGTAAGATACGGAAGCAGCCCAAGTGCCCACGGACTGATGAATGGGTAGAGAAGGTGTGGTACACCATACAGCGAAATATCACTCAATCGCAGAAGGGAGGCGATCTTGCTATTGTGACAACGTGGTTGGACCGAGAGGGTATCGGGCTAAGTAAAATAAGTCCAACAGAGAACGACAAAAGCGTAAGATTCCACTCACATGGGGAGTTGCAGAAACAAAGCAAATGAGGGGGGAAAGAGACAAATGAAAAAGCCACACTCTTACATACAAAGCACAAACCGGTGGTTGCTAGAAGGTAGGTGCCGGGGCGGGGTGGGGGCGGGGATGGGTGAAATAGATAAAGGGGATTAAGAGCACACTTCTCGAGAGGAACCCTGAGCCATTACAGTGTATGCCGGAGACAGAGTGCCATATGTTTAGTACAGTCACAAAAAAAAAGAAATCATGAAGTCATTTTTAGAAAGCTGTAAAAATAGTCGTCCAGTCCACAGCATATTTAATGTAAGTTGTATATTAAATTACAATGTTTATTTATTTATTTTTAAAGATTGTATTTATTTATTTGACAGACAGAAATCACAAGCAGGGGGAGTGGCAGGCAGAGGGAGAGGGAGAAGCAGGTTCCCCGCTGAGCAGAGAGCCCAAGGTGGGGCTCGATGCCAGGACCCCAGGATCATGACCTGAGCCGAAGGCAGATGCTTAACCCACTGAGCCACCCAGGCACCCCATTTATATAAACTTTTTTTTTTTTTAATGAAAAAAGGATCACAAGGGGGTGAACTCCTTTCTGTTCTGTCTTTTGCTTATTTTAAGACATTTTAACTCATCAGGGTGTAACCTAAGGGGGCAATTCCCAATCCAGGTGTGCCATGGGAGGGGCCCCCCTGCAGCAGCTGCGAGGGGTCTCAGTCTCAGAACTGGTTGCCGATGTCAGATGGAAGTCCTACAGTCTGTGAGTCATGTCCTTTGCAGGTCTGGGATAGATTCAAGTTACCGTCTATAATGTCGTTCTTACTTGCCTGCGTCCTGAAAGCTTTTTGAGTATTTCAGCACTTCCGATTACATACTATGTTTAAATATTCATTACCTTCTCAGCCCCAGCGTCAGAGAATACAAATATAGCGAAAACACCTCCCTTCCTGGAGGGTAGCAGAGGGTTTAGGTGTGGGTCCCCCAGGGTCTGTCCTCTGCGTTACACGTGAGCACACAGAGAAAAACGTCTTTTTGTGGGGGTGTATTGTTTAAAGTCATTGAGATGGTACTAAGTTGTAATTAAGCAAGCATCTTGGTTTTGTCATGTAACAATATTTGGGGGGGATTTCCTACCCGGTAAACATGTCTCTTTCTTATGGCTACATCGTGTTCGGCCTCTGGGGGCTTGGATGTACTTATCCCTGACTGATGACTATCTAGGCTAGTCTCCGTTTTTGTGACACCCCATCTCTCAGGGGGTCCTAGCTCTTTAGGGTGGGGAGGGTTGCTGGGGAGGGGAGGGTGGTGGGTGGACACAGGGGCTGCTTGGGAACTGCACACACCCCTGGGTGGGGCGCAGAGGAATCTTGACCTGGCTGTGGATGTCCTTGTCCCCTCTCGGAAGGGGCTAGCCCCTGGGCTATGTCCCCGGAGCTTAGGGAAAGCCTCAAGACAGGACAGATGGGTCAAAAGAATGCCATAAAAGACAGAACAGACTGGTTTGAGCTCTTACAAAAAGGTCAGCAGACTTTCAGCTGGAGCTAAGCCTACTGATTGCCGGGTATTGTCATTTTTGTCACGCCGTCTTGGCAGGCAGGGTCCCAGCTGGCTTGGGGATCGTAGTGTTGACTGGGCTGGACCTTCCCTGGAACCCCTCCATCCAGGCCAGCGGGAGGGAGATTTGCAGTGGTGCTGGGAGAAACGGAGGTGCTCCTGGGCACGGGGCGGGGGGGTGCTGGCAGGAAGGGGAAGCGTGTGGGGTCTGTGGAGGACCTTCATCATCGGTGGCAGGGGCCACACTCCAGCGGGGTTAGAGCTCCCGAAAGATTGTGCTCAAAATCATCTGCAGCAGGAAGAAAAGACCCGAGACCCCCAGGTTCAGAGAGGCTCTTGAGGCTCTCTCTCCAGAATCCCATGAAGAAACAGACTGCATTCCTGAGCATAGAACAGTAACTTGCAATGATAACTCCGTCCCATCTGTCCTCTGAAGTGTCCTAAACAACCGCCCAGCCATTCGTACACTTACCTTGCTCGAGATGTGCTTTCTGGACCCACGAGCTAAGAATGGCTTTACGTGTTTATGAAACGAACTAATCAGGTGTTTAGTTAATTAATTAAAATTGATTAATTAAAAGTCTCCAGGGCCAAATTCTACGTAATCTCTACACTCAATGTGGGGCTGGAACTCACGACCCTGAGATCAAGAACCGTCCATTCCACGGACTCAGCCAGCTGGGGTCCCTGGCTTTACATTTTTAAATGGTTGAAAAAAGACTGAAACATAATATTATTTCCTGACATGTAAAAATTATGTAAGAGTCAGATGTCCGTACGAATAAAGTTTTATTGGCACGCAGCCACCCTGTTCAGCATTTATGAATGGTCGTGGCAGCTTCTATATGTACTACAGTGGCAGTGTTGGGTAGTTGTGTCAGAGACTGGACGGCCTCCCAAACCTGAAATATGTATTTCTTAGGTTTTTCAAGAGATGTCATTTATGAGTGTTTGTTCTTCCCCCATTAAAAAAAAAAAAAAGTAGTGCATGTTCGTGTTAGCAAATGCAGAAATGAATTTTTTAAATGCACCTGTCACACCCCTGGTACTTGTTTTTTTTTTTCACAAGCATGCCTGTGTCTCCCAGGGTCTAGCTGCCTACGTATTATGAAACTGGGAATATGTTGGCTCCTTTCTTGTGCTTTGGCTTTCACATCTGAAACAATTTGATGTATCCTAACTTACTTTCGCAAACTTCCTTCTGTTACCAAATTATGTCATAATTTAAACTCACTGGGACTTGTGGGCTGTTTCTAAGTTTTGAATATTCATAAAGCTGGGAAGACTACCTTTTTGTATTTCTTGATTATCCTGAAGAGAAATTCCAAGCAACAGAATTCCTGGGCCTGTGGGTTTGGATTCCTGACACCAGACTGTGCTCCCAAGGGCAGAACTGGAGAGGAGCCCCTTCCCAACCTCTCCAGCAGGGCTGGGCATAATTATCATTAGAACATTTTCCATGACAGGTGGGAAAGGACTGGGCTTTTTTTTTTTTTTTTTAGATTTTGTTTTTTTATTTGACACAGAGAGAGATCACAAGTAGGCAGAGAGGCAGGCAGAGAGAGGGAGAAGCAGGCTCCCTGCTGAGCAGAGAGCCCAATCCGGGACTTGATCCCAGGACCCTGAGATCATGACCTGAGCCAAAGGCAGAAGCTTGAACCCACTGAGCCACCCAGGTGCTCCAAGGACTGGGCTTTTAAGTGACATTTCTATGATCACTAGTATAATTTAATTTTCCCCCATGTTTATTAGCCATGTACATTTTTTCTTAAATTATCCCTTGTTCTTGGGTGCCTGGGTGGCTCAGTTGGTTAAGTGTCTGCCTTTGGCTCCGGTCATGATCCCAGAATCCTGGAATTGAGTCCCGCATCGGGCTCCCTGCTCAGCTCCCTGCTTCTCCCTCTGCTTGCCCTCTCTCCCTCTCTCTCTCTGACAAATAAATAAAATCTTTTAAAAAATCATCTCTTGGGGCGCCTGAGTGGCTCAGTGGGTTAAGCCGCTGCCTTCGGCTCAGGTCATGATCCCAGGGTCCTGGGATCGAGCCCCGCATCGGGCTCTCTGCTCGGCAGGGAGCCTGCTTCCTCCTCTCTCTCTGCCTGCCTCTCTGCCTACTTGTGATCTCTCTGTCAAATAAATAAATAAAATCTTTAAAAAAAAAATCATCTCTTATCTTTATCCATTGTTTTCTATTTCTAATCTATTCTTAAATAGAAATAAAAACTGTTCTTATTGATTTGAAAGTGCTCTTTATATAGTAAGAATATTTATGTGAGTTAAAACGGAATGCTATAAAAACCCTTATTGAAGGGCACCTGGGGGGCTCAGTCGGTTAAGTATCTGCCTTCGGCTCGATCCTGGAATCGAGCCCCTGGAATCGAGCCCCACATCGGGCTCCCTGCCTGGCAGGAAGCCTGCTTCTCCCTCTCCCACTTCCCCTGCTTGTGTTCTCTCTCTCTGTCAAATAAGTAAATAAAATCTTAATAAAGAAAAGAAGCCTTATTGAGGCGGCAGCTGATTAAAAAGTGGCGCTAAGGACGTGCCCACTTTCCCGGGCTGGGGGTGGGGGAAGCAGAAGTGGTAATTTTTTATCTGCCAAATCTGTGGCAAGTATTTTCCCTGGTTTTCTCTTTGGCTTTTAGAAGAATTCTCCACATTAAAATTGTAATATTTGATTTTTTCCCAAAGATTTTATTTTTAATCCATCTTTACACCCAACGTGGGGCTCCAACTCGACGACCCTGAGATCAAGAGTCATGCGCTCCACTAGCTGAGCTAGCCAGGCGCCCCTGGACAGTCGTTAGGCGTCTGCCTTTGGCTCAGGTCATGATCTCAGGGTCCTGGGATCGAGCCCCCCCCATCGGGCTCCCTGCTCAGAGGGAAGCCTGCTTCTCCCTCTCCCACTCCCCCTGCTTGTGTTCCCTCTATCGCTGTCTATTTCCCTCTGTCAAATAAATAAATCAAATCTTTAAATCAAATAAAAATAAATAAATAAACAGGATTCTCCATGTTAAAATTGTAATGAACGTTTATGAACCAGACCCATCCATCCTCTCCTACCTGGAGCTGGCTTTGCTGCTTGCTTACACACAGGCGAATACTTTCCTTGTACCAGATCGATGCCCCGCCCTGTCCACACCAAGCCCCAGGCAGCTCCCACGTGCGTGCCCAGGAGCAGACTCTGCAGATCCTCTGGGGCTCTTTCAGAATGAGGCGAAGTAGAGGAAGCCAGTGGGGTTCTCAGTTCCTACCATCAGGACCCCAGCCCCCTGGAGGCCAAAGATCTCCTGTGCGCTGCCCCCCCTCACCCCTCCCCACCTCTCCTGGGGGACCCACACTCTCTAGGTGAAAGTGTGGTGAAAGGCTGTGCCCCACCTGGGTGAGCACAGAGTCCTGCTGGGTTAGGCTCCAAATGATTTCAAAGTGATCCACGTTATGGATTTCTTCAAATGAGGCATCCCACCCTCCCCGGCGCAGCGTCTGGGTGAAGAAAGGAGTCAAGTAAGAGGCGGCAGGCTGGGGAGGGTGGGGGAGCGTCACCCTGCGCCTGGCATGTGCCAGGTGCTCGCTAAGTATTTGTTGGATAAATGGCTCATGGTCTTGGGGTCCCTTGGGGTGAAGCAAAGAGGAAGGTAATAGGAGGACAGGACCCTCAACCTCCGGCCAGAAGCGGGGAGCTCGGGGGTACCTGAAAAATCTCCCTAGACTGTCGGTGGAATTCAGGGGAGTCGTGTTGGCCCACAGTCACCAGCATGTGGCAGGCTGGACCCGAGGGCCGAGTCAAGGCTGCCTCCAGGAGCAGCTGGGGGCTGTTCCTCCGAGCGTCCTCCCTGATGCAGAGGGTGGGCGTGGGTCAGGACAGAGAGGAGGCTGCAGTTCACTCCTGGCCCTCCTGGGAGGGTCCCCCTCAGCTCAGGGAGGAGGGGGCAAATGACTCACGGGGTCAGGAGGAGAGGGGCGTTCTGAGTGGTGTGCACGATGGGCTCCAGGTCATAGATCCCACTTACCAGGAAAAAACCTGTGAAGGGGAAGAAGACTCAGAGGGTCAGGCTGCAGGTGGGGCCGAGGCTCCACCAAGCCAGGCCTCAAGCGGACCTGGAGGGTGGGGGGAGCATTATGGGGCCAGCCCAGCCTCCAGGACCAAAGGGGCAAGACCACGGTAGGGGGAGAGAAGCAAAGCTGGCCTGTCTCACAGGGCTCAGAGCCCCCAGGTCAAGCCCTCTGTGGCTGCTGGGATTTTGGGCAGCCGGTGTCTACCACCTGAGGAGGGTGAAGGCTGCCCCGCCAGACCTGCAGTCCCGTGAAAACCTTTGAGGTTGGGTGTGACTCCATGCTTGGTCCAGTTGGCCAGGAGCATCATGGCAGCCAGGTGGGCCCCTGCTGAGTGTCCACAAAGGTAAAGTCCCCTGGGTCGGGTCAGAGAAGAGAGCCAAATCTGCCTTCAGTTTCCTGAGTGCATCGGACCAGTACCAGAGGCTCCCGATTTGCCTTCTGCTCCACAGCCCGGAGGAGGCAGCTGGCCTGCACCCAAGGCACTGAACCCACCATCCTCCCGCATTGTCTGACAAAAGGAAAATCTGCAGGGACACCCACTCATTGCACGGATATTTCTTCTGCACAAACACGACGCTCCGAGTCACCTGGTTTATCATCTGGTCCAGGGTTCCTGCACACAGAGCAGGAGTGGGGTCAGGGTTCATGGGGGGTGGCTCTCTTCCCTCCAAAGCCCAGCAGCCTTCAAACCCGTAGGACCATCCTCATTACCTTTGGGTGCAATGTCATAAGCCACGACTACCACGGCCACTCCCCGTGCCGTCAGTGGGTCGACCATGAAGGCTGACATGTCCTTACTGAGGAAAGAGACAAACATGTGATAATGGAGAAACCTCGGCCACCAACCAGGCTCCTTCCTGGTCATGTCCACCCAGGGCTCCAGCCCTCTCTGGTCCTGTGTAGTATAAGGAAGAAGGTAGGTGCTATCCTTACCTTATCACATGCTAGCTCTGAAACCCTGGGGGCTTTACTTAACCTCTAAGTCTGCTTTCCTCATCTGTAAAATGGGGACATCTACTTTCTCGTAGGTGCTGTCTTTGAGAAATGAAGATCAGATGAGTAGAGAGCTTTGTGGGACAAAGGGTAAAGCCATAAATTCAGCTGCGAAGATGTCTATGCTTGAAGGGTCATAGATCCTATAGCAGGAAACTCCTTAAGTGAGATCCTAGGGAACAACAGTGTCCTTGAAGATCTCAAGTATGCCTCTGCTTATCTTACGGTGACGAGCTGACCTGGGTTCCCCGGGGGCTCTCCCGCGGAAAGCCTCATGTCCTGGGAAACCCCTCAGTCCCACGCAGGCCAGGAGGGTTAGTCACTGCAGTTTCCCTTTGACTGAGAGTAGCTTGAACGTACTTCTCCCCGGGTACAGGGGGTTAAATCATGTTCCCTCAAAAGACAGGTCCACGTCCTAACCCCAGCACCTGGGAATACGGCCACACAGTGTACAGAGCTGTCATTAGGGACCCCGAGGTGAGGTCATCCATGATTTAGGATGGACCTCAATCCTACTATGGGTGACGTTATAAGAGAGAAAGGTGGGGGCAGATCTGAGACACAGACACACAGACACCGAGGAGGCCCGGTGAGAATGGAGGCAGAGACGGAAATGAGGTGACCACAGGGGCGCCTGGGTGGCTCAGTGGGTTAAGCTTCTGCCTTTGGCTCCGGTCATGATCCCAGGGTCCTGGGATCGAGCCCCGCTTTGGGCTCTCTGCTCAGCAGGGAGCCTGCTTCCTCCTCTCTCTCTGCCTGTCTCTCTGCCTACTTGGGATCTCTGTCTGTCAAATAAATAAATAAAATCTTAAAAAAAAAATGAGGTGACCACAGCCAATGAAACGCAAGAACCCCCCAGAAGTTGGAAGAGGCGGGAGCAGTTTCTCCCTGGAGCCTCAGAACGGAGCAGGGTGCTGTATGCAACCCGATCTCAGACTTCTGGCCTCTGGAACCAGAAGAGAATGTGTTTCAGCGATAAGCCACCAAGTTTGCAGTCATCTGTTGCAACAGCCAAAGGAACTCCTACACCAGGGCAAGAAGAATCTCCAGATTCTGCTCATCCAGACCGCAACTCACCTTCCACTCTGCCAGTACCCTCCGTGAAGGAACAGACAGAAAGGCAAGGCTGTAAAGACAGACAAAGGCATGGGGGCTGAGCCCAGGCGGCCAGGCCAGCTGAGATCTGCCCAGGGACGGCCCTCCCGATGGCCTACCTTCAGCAGCCACTTCTCCAGGAAAGTAGATGTCCAGTTTCTCCCCTTCGCCATCCCCGTAGGGGACATGCAGCAGGCTCTTCCTGGTGGCCCGGGCCTTCTTGGTGGCTGTCTCGAGAAACGGACAAGTCGCCATCAGCACAATCTGTTTAATTTCTCTATCATTTAAGGCAGAATCTTTTCTGCTTAAAGCCCCTTGGGGTGCACCAGTCAGTTCTAGCTGTCACTGTTTGCCCGAACGATGCTTCCCCAAGTCCTCAAGGTCATCTGAGCTGGGTTCCCAAGCATCTCATGGGGGTGCGTGGTCAGTTGCAATGACAGCAGACTGGCCCATCCAAGTGGGACCGATATGGTCTGCCAAGGTCTGTCTGGAAGGGCTCCATGGTTCTGAAGGGTGCCCTCCATCCACTGCTTCATTCCGGGGTTTTCGCAGGCATTACACTTTGCTTCGTGCTCCAGGAAGTGTCGACTTGTCCGAGTCTCCGGAAAAACAGTCTTCTAGGGAAGCAATATATAAACTCACTTCAAGTAGGGGTGCCTGGGGGGCTCAGCTAGTGAAGCGTCTGACTCTCGATCTCGCCTCAGGTCACGATCTCACAGTGGCAGGATCGAGCCCCGCGTCGGGTCTACGCTCAGATTCTCTCTCCCTCTCCCTGCCCTTTTGCTCCTCCCCACTCAAGTGCTCTCTCTTTTTCTCTCAAAGAAATAAAATATTTAATCTCACTTCAAATAAATAGATAATAAAACAGTATGGATATGTAATTGGATGCCAGGAGGGGAGAGGTGAGAATGATGTGGAAATTGGCTACGACTTGGGTGGAAGAAAGGAGAAGGGGCATTGTTAGGGAAATAAATACCAGAGGTGAAGGGGTGGGGGGAGAGGGGAGTCTGTATATTCATGCCCTCCCCCAAGCGCTCTCCCCCAAAATCAGTGAAATGCAGGCAGCTTAGCTCCCTCCAACACTGGGCACTGGAGAGTGTAAATTGGTAAGATCTTCTGAAAGATGGCTTGGAAATAGGTATCGAAGCCCAAGAAGATTGTATTCCTTGATTCCTAAGTCCCTATCCACATAGTTTTTATAAGGAAATGATCAGATATATTCCCAAAGACTTGTTTTAAAGATGCCCACAGTAATGGTATTTATAATAGCAAAATACCGGACATAGCCTCTGACCTATGATAATAGAAAGCTGCTCAGAGACATTATGGCCTATCTCCCTTCTTGGCTTTGTCATGGAGTCTGGCATTCACCACTCTTGATATACTTTTCGCTGTTTTTCCTGTCTGTCTGTTGCCTTCACCCTGAAGACAAGGGCTTTGCTTTGCCCGCCTCTGTATACCCAGGACTTGATAGGTAGTAAAAAAAAATTAAAAGAAAATTGTGTGATAGGAGCGCCTGGGTGACTCAGATGGTTGACCGTCTGCCTTTGGCTCGGATCATGATCCTAGGGTCCTAGGATGGAGTGCCACATTGGGCTCGCTGCTCAGTGGGGAGTCTGCTTCTCCCTCTCCCCTGCCTATGCTCGCTCTGTCTCTCTCTGATTCAAATGAATAAAGAGAAAAAAAATCTTAAAAAAGAAAATTGGGTGATAAATATTTCAACAAGCAGTGCTGGGTTAACCAAATATCCAAATGGAAAAAAAAAAAAAAAGAGTTTCTTGATCCCTACCTCACACCATGCCAGATCAGTTCCTGATGGACTATCTAAACATGAAAAAGAGGACAACAGAGCTCTTGGAAAAGAGAATAAGAGATCTTCATGATCTTGGGATATCAAAGATTACATAAGTAGGACCCCAAACACATTAATCGAAAAGGAAATGGATAAGTATTTCATGATGCAAAGAGCAGAACAGGTTGTGTAAATAGCACAGAGATTATGGTGATCTTCCTGATACTGAAATTGGTGGGGAGAGATGTGACTTGGGATCCACGTCCCCAGAGATGCCCAGGTCCCCAGCCTTGGTGGCTGTGGTGCTGGGCCCAAAAGGAAAATAATGCTCCTCTGGGTTGGATGACCCTGGATCTCCAGAAGGGGCTAACGCACTGTGTAGAGATAGTTTGTATAAAGTGTGTCTGGGCAAGTGCGCATAAACTGTTAAAATGGGCGGTTGGCATTTTGGCTGGACTCTGGTCTTGGCCTTGAGCAGGGTAGACGCCCAGTTTCCCCATGCCAAAACCAGAGACCAGGCTGCCTTTGCAGGACAAGCAAAACCAGTTTGCCATCACTGACCATGTCTACTGACCACACCCCCCGCCCCCCGCCATCCTTGGAGTGAGGGGACAAGAGAAGGGAACTTTTCTTAGGAGAGAGATGTGCTATGCTATGCGCTGTGGGTCCTGCTCCCTCTCCTGTGGATGAGGGGGTGGAGACTTCCCAACTCCTATTGCTTCAAGTGACCAACTGCTCAGAAGGCCTGAGGTGTGATTCCTGCAAGGGTCTAACGACCAGGGGCGCCTGGGTGGCTCAGTGGGTTAAGCCTCTGCCTTCGGCTCAGGTCATGATCTCAGGGTTCTGGGACCGAGCCCCGCATCGGGCTCTCTGCTCAGCGGGGAGCCTGCTTCCCCCGTTCTCTCTGCCTGCCGCTCTGCCTGCTTGTGATCTCTCTCTGTGTCAAATAAATAAATTTTTTTAAAAAAGGTCTAATGACCAGAACAGGCCAGCCTCCTAGTGTGTCCATGTGCCACACCAGGCACCGACCACTACATAGGACACACTTAAAGGAATGCATCTATTAGAGACTTTCAGTGACTCAAATATATTGCATTTGTGATTCTAATCTAAAGTGTTTAAGGGCACCTGGGTGGCTCAGTTGGTTAAGCATCTGCCTTTGGCTCAGGTCATGATCCCAGGGTCCTGGGATCCAGCCCCGCATCCGGCTCTCTGCTCAGCAGGGAGCCTGGCCGCCCCCCCAACCGCACCCCCCACCCCCGCCTGCCTCTCTGCCTACTTGTGATCTCTGTCAAATAAATTAATCTTCTTTTTAAAAGATTTTATTTATTTATTTGACAGACAGAGATCACAAGTAGGCAGAGAGGCAGGCAGAGAGAGGGGAGGAAGCAAGCTCCTTGCTGAGCCCAGAGCCCGATGAGGGGCTCGATCCCAGGAACCTGGGATCATGACCAGAGCCGAAGGCAGAGGCTTTAACCCACTGAGCCACCCAGGCGCCCCTAAATAAATCTTTAAAAAAATAATAAAATGGTTTAAGTGGTACATTTTATGTCACAAACAAAACTGGCGCTTGTATCTTCTGTGCCTTTGATTCTTCCTCTGGCTTTTCTGGTGGAGAAGAAAAAGCCCCCGCGAAGGGAGGAAGGGCCCTCGGAGATCCGGACCCCACCAGAGGCTGTCAATCACGAGGCTCCACCCACCTCACGGGCGACTGGTTCTCTTGGAGAAGGGCGTGGCTTGGGGGACTGGAGGCCGCGGGAAGGTCTGAGAGGCAGGGCGCCCACACAGCGGTTCAGCACCGACCTCTGCCTGCCTGTGTGTCTGCCTAGTTACTCCTCCGCCCATGCATCCACCCTGCCATGCACGCGTCCATCCTTCATTTAGTGTACAATGTATCAGTCCTAAGAGTTGCGGTAAAACAAGTTTAAACTTACTGACAGAGGAAATAGTTCTGAAAACCGGCCCCTGCCCGCCCCCTTCTGCTCTCTGCCCACGCTCACTCAGCCGTCCTGCGTGTCCAGCCTTAGCGAGGCCACGTCTTTAAGGCGGAGAAAGGTCAACTACACATTGGAGCAGAACACTCCCCTACTGCAAATTACTAGGTCAGTGACTGTAAGGGTGAATATAAACCAAAAATAAGGGCGGAAAATTTTTTTTGAAGTCTCCCTGGTGCAGAAAAGGAAAAGAGAGCTTCCTCCCTCCCTTTTCTTCCAGTATTTATTTTGGGAAACTCATTGTAGATCCTTTCTCTACCCTTTTGAGGTGTATGTAAATATTTTTATTTTTATTTTTATTTTTTTTAAAGAATTTATTTATTTATTTGACAGGGAGAGATCACAAGTAGGTAGAGAGGCAGACAGAGAGAGAGAGAGGAGGAAGCAGGCTCCCCGCTGAGCAGAGAGCCCGATGCGGGGCTCGATCCCAGGACCCTGAGATCGTGACCTGAGCCGAAGGCAGAGGCTTAACCACTGAGCCACCCAGGCGCCCTGTAAATATTTTTGAAAGCGAAAGAACTCTCTTGCCAGTTATACAAGCTAGGAATGTTTCTGTCCAGGACCAGAAGCCAGCACCCGTACCCCCAGATTCCATGGGAGGGCAGGAGCAGGTGTCTGGCTCCCAAGTTACAAGACTACGTCTTGCCTTGAAGAGACGGGGAATTTTCTTTTTTTTCTGGAGAACGGCAATTTGCAAGCCTGGGCCACCCTAGGTACTGGGTGGATTGTGGAAGAACCCGGGGGCTCTGTCAGGCTCTCTGGCTTGAGCACAGGTACCCTCTATCTTGAGAGCAGGTGTATCTGGTCTGCGATGGGGCATATTGCTGGCCTGTATAAAAGGGTGACGTTTCTTTCTGGGGTCTCTAGCAGCTCACCTATGGGGCACGTCACAGTTCGGCTAACCCTTGTTCGATCATAACATGTCTTCTTTTCTCTCTCTGTCCTTCATGGAGAGGCGTTCTGGCTTGACAGCAATTTCCCACTATTAGCGCTTGGTGTCGCTTTGCCGTGTCCTGTGAGTGTGACTGTGGGGCAGTCCTCGAGGCCACAGGCAGCACTGACGGGGTCTGGGGCATCCTGCAGCAGAGACCAGGCAGGGCTCCCTCCCTGACGCTGCCTCACCAGCCCCAGCCGGTCAGCCTGCTCCTTTCTCCCCAGGGCCAGGGGGCCCCCTCATGAGCTGCATGAGCTCGTCAAGCAGGGTGAGGTGAGGGAGGCCCTTGCTTTGGAGTCGGGGGGTGGCACGAAAAACTCAGTAATGAACTCAGTAATGAAGATTGTTTTGGGCTGTAGGTTTGTGTCCCCCAACATCCCTATGTTGAAGTGTTGCTCCCTAACGTGATGGTGCTGGAGGGAGTAATTACCTCCGGGAGGTATTTGCTTTGGATGAGGTCATGAGGGTGGGGCCCCTGTCGTGGGATTAGCAGCCTTAAACGAAGAGGAAGAAAGACCAGGGCTCTTCCTCTCTCTCTCCCGCTCTCTCTCTGCCAAGTGAGGACATATGGACAAGACAGCTGTCAGCACGTCAGGAATAGGACTCTCACCAGGGAACCAAACTAGCCAGCACCTTGATCGTGGCCTTCCTAGCCTCCAGAACGTGAGAAATAGATTCCTACTGTTTAAGCCACCCATTCGATGGCCTTTTGTTAGTGCAGACCAAGCTGACCAATATAAAGATAAATAATACTTACTTTAAAGAAGAGGTTTTTTTTAAAAGTAGGCTCTACGCCCAGCATGGAGCCCAGGGTGGGGCCTGAACCCAGGACTCTGAGATCAAGACCTGAGCTGAGATAAAGAATTGGACACTCGGGGCGCCTGGGTGGCTCAGTGGGTTAAAGCCTCTGCCTTCGGCTTGGGTGGTGATCCCAGGGTCCTGGGATCGAGCCCCGCATCGGGCTCTCTGCTCAGCAGCGAGCCTGCTTCCCTTCCTCTCTGCCTGCCTCTCTGCCTACCTGTGATCTCTGTCTGTCAAATAAATAAATAAAATCTTAAAAAATAATAATATTTAAAAAAAAAAAGAATTGGACACTCAACCAACTGAGCCATCCAGGTGCCCCAAAGAGAAATACTATTTAGAGGCAGTAAATATACATACATATTTTAAATCTCAAGTAACGCTAATGTCCATGGCCAACAAAATGTCAACATTTTAAATAGAGACAGGCTGCAGCCCTGCACAGGCATGGCCCTTGTTCATTCCCCCGGCCCTCATGCCCCCCTGTTCTTGGGCTCATGTTCTGCACCCATGGAATGGGTCAGCGGCACCTGCAGCTCCTCCAGGCCAACTACAGCACTGAGAACAGGAAGGCGAGTGGAATGTGAGCTTAAAGCTGTCCACGGTGTGGACAGCAATCACGGATGGGAGTCTCTGAGGGCAGCAGACAGCACGAGCTCCTCAGCTCTTACCCCTCATGCGGAACTCGCTTTCTCAAGGGGGACAGATCTCCTTTCCTTCAAGACAATTAAGATAGACAAATAGGTTTTCGGGGTGGTTCAGTCAGCTGGGCATCTGTTTTCAGCTTGGGTCATGATCCCAGGGTCCTGGGATCGAGGCCTAGGTCAGGATCCCTGCTCAGTGGAGAGTCTGCTTCTCCCTCTGCCCCTCCTCCCTGCTCGTGCTCTCTCTCGCTCTCTCTACCTCTCAAATAAGTGAATAAAATCTCTTTTTTAAAAGATTTTGTTCATTTGAGAGGGAGAGAGAGAGCACAAGCAAGGGGAAGGGCAGAGGGAGAAGCAGATTCCCTGCTGATCAGGGAGCCCGATGTGGGACTTGATCCTAGAACTCCAGGTGACCTAAATGAATAAAATCTTAAAAAAAATGGCTTTTCTACAAAAGCTCATGTAGGTTTCACCACACACTCTAGTTTATTGACCAAATAGTCACGTGTTTGGCACAGAGCTGGGCCCTGCAGAGGGCTCTGAAGAGGCCAGGACACAACTCCACTCCACGTCCATTGGGACAGGGAGGATACCGGTCTGTGCTGGAATGAACCTCCACAAGCCTGTTCTTCCAGAAGGATTATCTCAGTTGACCGAACCACCAAATCCAAGTGCTCTGCTCAGCCTGGGGAAACCAAGATTCACTTCGGGATTCCTCCACTCGCTTACAGGGTCCCAAGCCCTGACTTCTTGAAAGAAACCAAAGTCTTCTTTGATTACAAATACCATCAACACCGAATGTTTGGGCCAAGGGGGAGACCTTTTGATTTTTCACTCCACCTCTCCGTGCCACTGTGGTCCGTCACCTGATGTGCCTGGGCATTGCTGGCTGAGCACGCAGTAGAGGTGGATCATGGCGTGGAGGGGCGTTTCCTGGTTCCAGCCATCCTGCAGTGAGGGCTCCTGAGTGGCCCTGAGCGGACAAGGTTTGCCCAGCGCCTGGACTTTGGGAATTGCCCTGAGAGCCTCCCCCTGCTCCCTGCAAAATGAACCATTGCCACCTGCCAAAGTCCACCCACGGCAGCCATGGAGACGGCCCCCAGTACCCTTGTCTCCTAGGTGTGAGTACATTTTCAGGGTTTCTTCCGCTCCCCGTCTGATGACCCATCTGCTGGGGCAGTACTGACGCTCCAATTCCTGCGGAACACAGACAGAAGGCTGCATAAGACCTTTGTTCTCCACACTGTGCCCCCATCCCTCCTAACGGTCTAGATGCTTCTCTCCGCCTTGAGAAGCCGCCTCCCCAATATCTCAGGCTGATGCTCTCAATTTCCTTCAAGTCCCTCCCATCTCCAGCCTGGTCACCTACTCCTCACTCTGCCCCCAACATCAATTAATTAGGTACTTCAGACACAATGTCCTGGGTGCTCTCAGACTCGTGGCCTAGAGCCACAGTCATGCTTTAACTAGTGGACAGCCTTAAAGGGGAGATGAGGTCCCATAAATCTGTCCTGGTTAATGCCACTGTGGGCACCACTCCTGCTGCTGGAGGCCAGGGAGCTGGGGGCAGGCCACTGCAGAGAAAGTTGATCTTCTCTGAGCAGGCATGTTCCTTTTTTTTTTTTTTTTAAAGACTTTATTTATTTCTTTGACAGAGACAGATCACAAGTAGGCAGAGAGAGGAGGAAGCAGTCTCCCTGCTGAGCAGAAAGCCAGACGTGGGACTCCATCCCAGCAGCCTGAGATCACAACCTGAGCTGAAGGCAGAGGATTTAACCCACTGAGCCACCCAGGCGCCCCGATCCTTTTTTTAAAAGAGTTTATTCATTTATTTTTAGAGAGAGAGAGAGAGCAAGAGAGCACACAAGCAGGGGGAAGGGCAGAGGGAGGGGGAGAAAATCCCGAGTAGATCCCCCGTCAGTGTGGAGCTGGACACGGGGCTTGAACCCACAACCTTGAGATCATGACTTGAGCTGAAACCAAGAGTCGGACGCTCAACTGACTGAGCCACCCAGGAGCCCCTGACCAGGAGCCCCTGAGGGAGCAGGATTCTGACTGCAGGAGTCACAGCAAAGAAACCAAAGGTCAGTTTGGAAATGCTGTTGGGCCAGACTGCTGAGACACAGAGGTGCGGCAGGGAAGCTGGGGCTGGGGGAGAGGGCCTCGGATGCTAGGCCAAGATGTTCAGTGTAATGCAGAGAGCAACGAGGAACCAGATTTTGGATGAGGAGCTCGAAGACAAGGAGAAAGAGTGGAGACTAAGATGGGGAATTTGCAGACAGGGTGGCTTCATGGAAGGGTCTTGCGCTCTGGAGTCAGATGGGTTGAGGGTCATCCAAGCTCCAACAACACTTAGAGGCTGTTTTCCTCTGGACAACTCACTTACCCTCTCCGGGTCTCAGCCCAAGGTTGAAGGACATAAGGCATGTAAATGAAGTAAAACGAACCCTTCAAGTGTGGGTTACTGCCTCCTCCCACTGAACAAGAGTCTTGGCCAGCATTCTTTACATCTGTACAATATATGTCTGTAGGGCACCTTGTCGTCCCTGACACACACTGAGAGCAATCATAGTCTTCACACCTGTTATGTATGGTAACAATAATGCAGTGGGTTTTTGAGAGTTCCCTGGTAGTGCAGGTGTGTGTGTGTGTGTGTGTGAGACAGAGAGACAGAGCATTTCTTGGGGGTAGTAAGCATAATTTATCAGATTCTCAGGTGTATCAGGGACCAGGAAAACAAACAAACGAACGAACGAACGAACAACAACAACAGCAAAACCCGAAAAAACCCAGAACAGTGCCTGAAATTCCGGGAAACTAGTTAGGAAACTACAGTTGAGTGACAATCAGAGCGCGTGCTCTGCCTGGGTGGTTTCTAGCCCAAGGATCACGGTCAGGAAACAGCAGCCTTTCTGCATCCTCCCCGTCCTCCATCCGCATGGGGGACCCTCGGGTCAGGTCGGGAACCGTGGCCCTCTCTATGGATGCGAGCACGGTTTTCTCTGCCCTTGAAACCAGGCTCACCGAAGCCTGCCCGTGGCCAGAAGCACACCCAGTCAGGGCGCTAAAGCCTTCGGAGCAGGCACGCAGGTCCCCCTTGCCCTGGAGAGCGCAGGGTCTACGCCCGCCTGAGCTCCGCTGCTGGCACCGCATCTAACCTCCGCACGGCGCGGCCCGCCCGGCAGCCCGCCTACCTCTGCAGAGAGCCGCTTCCAGGGAGCCTCGGCTCGGGGCCCACGGCCGGGGACCTCCATCGTTCTACCGCGGCCGGCCGGAGGGCCACCCCGGCTATTTATACGCGGCGGCGGGGCCCGGGCCCGCCCTCCCGGTGACGCCAGCCGGCAGGGGCCTCGGGGCCGCCCACGAGGGGCGGGCTGCGGTCGAATCTCCCGCCCGGCCGCGGCCGCTCGCTGATTGGCTCCGGGGCGCCGGCTCCCGATTGGCCAGTGCGCCGGGGGTAAAAGCGGAGCGCGCGGGAACCCGAGCCTGGCTGCTGGGCGGTGGCACCGGAGGGACCCCGAGCTGCAGGCTTTCCGCGGCGCCATGAGCTGCGTCAACCTGCCCACCGTGCTTCCCGGCTCCCCCAGCAAGACCCGGGGGCAGATTCAGGTGCCGCGCGGGGACGGGATCCCTGCACGCGGGAGCTGGAGCGGGGTCCGGGTGGGGGTTGTGGCGGTGGCGGTGGCCGGGCGTCCGTGCATGGCGGGCCCCGAAGTGAACCTCGCCTTCCCTCCTAGGTGATTCTAGGACCCATGTTCTCAGGAAAAAGGTAAGTAAGTCGCGGCCTCGTGGGGACCGCCTCCTCCCCCATCCCTCCCCTACCCCGGGCCGTCCTCCTCCCCTGGCGCCCCTCCGGGGCCCGCCGCCGCTCTCAGACAGCACCCCCAGCACAGTCCCCGCGGCCCGACGGCGCGTGCCCGCCCGGGATGCTGCTGTTCCCGGGATCCGGTCCTGGGCAAGGCGCCCCTTCCGTAAGAGTCGTTCCACCACCGCTTCCTCCTGCCTCTGGCAGCAGCTGCGGACGGTTTAGCCTCGCACCGAAGCCCTCTCGGAAAGGGTCAGCCAAGTCTTTCAATGCTTTTTGTGATTAAATTTTCAAATTCTTTTAAAATCGCGTCTACCATGGGCCAGGTCCTATGCGCCCTGCAGTATGGGCAACCGCCTCCCCCCGCCCCACCCCCGCCTTCCGATGTGACTGTTTCCTTAGTTTACACACTAAGGAGTCAGACCAGGGCACCTTTGCTCCCCTGATGTGACAGCACCATCACCTGACCTAGGCAGGACTAGCCAGCCCCCTGAGAAATGCCCTCTGCCCCGGGGGTGGGGGTGGGGTCACTCCAGTGCAAGCTCTAGGCTCTGGGAGAGGCAAAGAGATTTTCTTCTTGCACAAAAAAATTTTCTGAAATCAGTTCCGACGAGGTGAAGGCCTCTGGGATGAGACTGCTTTGGAAGGCAGTCTGGCCCCTCTCCTCCACGTGGGGCTTTTGCCTCTGCCCGCTCCACCAGATCCCTGAGACCCTCACCCCTCCATCCCCTCCCCGGGCCATTTGGGGGTCATTCCTTGCCACCCTCCCCAAGGAGAACACTTAACCACCTCAGCACGCCTCTATTATTCCATTTTTCCTGGGCTCCCTGACTGCTCTCGCCAGTATCCCTCTCAGGCCTAGACTGTGGACGCCCAGAGCACAGGCCCTCTGTCCTCTCTCTGTCCATTGGTGGGTCTCAGGCTGCAGACCCCAATAAGGTGGTGGGGTGCCCCGCATGTGCTGAGGGGGTCTTCCTTGCCCACTCTCAACACCGTGGAGCTCACGGAGGGCCCCACTCTTGCAGTACGGAGTTGATGCGAAGGGTCCGCCGCTTCCAGGTTGCCCAGTACAAGTGCTTGGTGATCAAGTACGCCAAGGACACTCGGTACAGCAGCAGCTTCTCCACGCATGACCGGTGAGTCCCTGCCCGCGTCTGTCCTGTCACATGACTGCCCACCCCCCCCTCCCCAGAAGCCTGGTGAAAATTCCCAAGGGCCTAGAACGCACCATCAGAGCTCTCTTTTAGCAGGAATGGTTAGTAATGCTGATGCCTGGCATCGAAACACGGCAACTCTGCAAACTTTCAAAGTCGCTTGGCCAGGGATCATGGACTTGGCCTTGCGCAGAGTTCTAGCCCAGTGTTCTTAACCAGGGGAGCGTTTGCACCCCCGTCCCCGGAAGTCCATTTGGCAGTGTCTGGAGACAGTTCCATCCAGTCTTCACGACTGCGGTGGGGGAGGGTCACAGGATGCTTCCAAACCGAACATCCCACAACACGCAGGACAGCCCCACGGCCAGTATCTCTCCTGCTGCAATTGCCAACAGTGCTGTGCTGACGGCTGTGCGGTGGCAAACTGGTTTCTTTGAGCCTGCGTGTTGTTTTTCATTTGACTTTGTCGTCGTTATAGCCTGGCTCACGCTGGGTTGTCGCATGGTTTTCATGCACCTGCTTTTACGTTTATCTGCCTGCGCCCTGAGGACGTTTCTGTTTGCTACGTGAGGAGGGGAGGGAAGGGGAAATTAAATTGGCTCTTGCCTGTTCCTTGGCTACGGATCAAGGCCTGAGATTTCTGAGCCTGGGACGTGATCTCTGTACTCGGGGCTTGTCCCACTGAAACCCACCCCCCCACCCGTGGCAAAGCCATGCTGTGCCACAGACAAAGCTTGCAGTCTGGGAACCTCAGAATGGCCCCAGGTGTGTAGCCTCGGGGTGGCAGAGTGGGGTCTGTGAAGCCAGGCGGGGGTGGGGTGGACAGTGCCTGGGACTCGGAGCTAAGTGGGAGGCTTTGGGTGCCATGTACTTCCAGCTGTGCTGTCCCATGCTGGTCATTTCTGCCGTCCAGTTTGCTTCCGCCCTAAAACATGCTGTTCTGCTGCTGCACCGCGCAAGGGCGGTGGGAGCAGAGGAGGCAGCAGTGTCCCAGGAGAAGTCAGGCAGATAGGGGCCCCTGGGAGCTCTCTGACTCGGGCTGCAGAGGCTGGGATGGGCCACTGCTGGGACCAAGCCGTTGGCGCAGGAGGGACAGGGCTCCAGACATGCTGCCCTTGCCCGCCCTCTGTTTTTTTTCTATTTGGGGAGAGAAGGGGGAATTTGAAATACTATCTCACGCTAGTCCCAGATCTTGGAGTAGAATTATAGCAAGATAATGACTTATCTTGCTATAAAGTGTTTTTGTTTATTTTTCTAAATACAGCTACAGGCTGCGGGGCCTTCAGAGAGTACCAGTGGCCTTCAGCTCAGGTCATGGTCCCAGGGTCCCGGGGAGCAGGGAGTCTGCTTCTTCCCCCCTCCCCCCACCCCGCCGCCCCGCTCATGTGCTCCCCCTCTCAAATAAATAAACAAAATCTTGAAAGAGGGGGGTGTCTGTGTGGCTCAGTTGGTTAAGCATCTGCCCTTGGCTCAGGTCATGATCCCAGGGTCCTGGGATCGAATTCTGCATCGGGCTCTTTGCTTAGTAGGGAGCCTGCTTCCCTTCCTCTCTCTGCCTGCTGCTCTGCCCCCTTGTGATCTCTGTCTGTCAAATAAACAAAATCTTTAAAAAGAAAAAAAAAAAAGGCTCTCGGTGTGGCGACAGGTTGGGTTGGAACCTTCCCACACATGGCCTTTGGCTTTCAAACACTTCTGGATACGGTTCTCCCCATTGGGCACACAGGACAACAGTGTGACCTTGGATTTGAATCTTGGCTCTGCCAGTTAATAGCTCTGTGATGGTGGAAAAGTCTTCCGACCTGCCAGAAGAGCCAAATGGATTGAATTCTTCTCCGGCAGTGCTGGTGGGGATCTGGGCTTATCTCTGCAGGGACACACAGGGCTGAGTCTGGTGCCCAGCCTCCCCCCTTTACCACACTGCACCTTCCAGAGCACTTTAGCCTTGAGTGGGCTCCTTAGTCCATAGAAAGAAAGAAGCAAAAGATTAAATTTTAGGACCACATTGACAGAAAGACAGCTAGAACGCAGCCTGAGTTGTATTTAGGTGTTCTTTTTCCCACTTTTAAAAGAAATGAAAGCATTTCACCTGCCCGGCCCACACTGAACAGAAGTGGAGCCTTCAGTCTCCGTTAAGCGTTGGAATGTGCATTGTTAACTTCTAGTCTGGTGCATCAAAGGAAACAGCTTGGGTTGAATGACTGGTTTTCTGAACACGGGCCTTCCCACAGGCACTAACTTCAAGCCCCAGCCCAACAGTGCAGCTGCTTGGCGGGTAGGGTGGTCCCGGGAGCTGGCCCCCAGCCCCAGCATTCAGGTTTCCGCTCCCTGGCCTTGCTCACCTGCTGGCTTTCTCTCCCCAGGAACACCATGGAGGCACTGCCGGCCTGCCTGCTCCGGGACGTGGCTCAGGAGGCCCTGGGGGTGGCTGTCATAGGGATCGACGAAGGGCAGTTTGTAAGTTGGCCTGTCCTGGCATTCTGCCTACGAGCCCCCAGCCTGTCCCCCTTCCTCCTTTGTTGGTTCTATCTCTGATCTTTTAGTAAGCAATGTTAACTTGGTTCAGCTTGTGTCTGAATGCCCTTGGGTTCTCCATACTGCTTTTCATGTTTGAAGGGATTTATTTTACCTTCTTAAAAAAAAAAATCTATATCTATATCTATATCTATATCTATATCTATATCTATATCTATATCTATAAAAGGGTTGCTTAGCCATTAAGCATCTGCCTTCAGCTCAGGTCATGATCCCAGGGTCTTGGGATCGAGTCCCACATTGGGCTCCCGCTCGGCAGGAAGCCTGCTTCTCCCTCTCCCACTCCCCCTGCTTATGTTCCCTCTCTCGCTGTGTCTCTCTCTGTCAAATAAATAAAATCTTAAAAAAAAAACAACAACAAAGCTGGGGGTGGGCATCTGGGTGGCTTAATCGGTTGAGCCTCTGACTCTTGATTTTGGCTCAGGTCATGACCCCAGAGTCATGAGATCGAGCCCTATGTCAGGCTGCACTGGGCATGGAGCTGCCTAAGATTCCCTTCTCACTCACCACCCCCCTAAGAAAAAATATATATACATATATTTACAGTGAACAACAACAACAACAAAATCCATTTTCTTAGGGTGCGTGGCCTGCTCAGTCTGTAGAGCCTATGATTCTTGACCTTGGGGCTATCAGTTCAAGCCAATTTCTCAGCACTTGTATGTAAGCAGTGCTCTGTTTGCCTCCCCATTGCTTCTGGCTTGTTTGTTATAGATTTGTTTCTCTTCTTTGGAAGTGTACCCTACAGGAGCTCTTCCAGCCCAGG